TGGCTATCCAGATTGGTACAAAGAGTACAAAGAGAAGAACACTAAAGGATATGCCAACCAGGTGGAGAGTGCAGAGTTCTCATCTAAAGGAGTTGATATGGCTGCCTTAGCACAAGAATTGTTGAAGTTTATGGGGGGAAAACAGAAAAACGATTCAGAATTTTCAGAAGGAGTAAATATTGCTGGTAATGTTGCAAACCTAAATTTTCATTTTGCACTGTCAATGTTTGAAAATATAGGTAAAGGCTCATGGATTTTGGACACTGGTGCTAGTAAGCACATGTGCACTGATGGAACCTTATTGACAAATCTTGCTCCTTTACCTAAAGCCATCTCTGTTTATCTGCCAGATGGTTCACTCAAACAAGTTACTCATTCAGGAAATGTTAAAATCAATGACCATATTATTTTGAAAAATGTTCTGTACATACCTTTCTTCAAGTTTAACCTCTTGTCTGTTTCACAATTGGCACATGACTCCCACATACAATGTGTCTTTACTCCCATGCACTGTTTGTTGCAGGACCTTGAGAACTGTAAAGTGGTGGCAAAAGGCAAGATGATGGGAAACCTTTACATACTAAACACCTTTTCTGTACCTTTTCCCCAGACAAATGATGCTTACCTGAATGTATTACCTTGTAAGAACTCTCTTGAAAACTGGCATATTCTCTTAGGACATGCTTCTGTCAGCACCTTGAAACATTTGGATTTTTTACAGTCATACTTCACTGATGAAAATTTAGCTGCCTTGAAGTCATGTGAGGTTTGTTGCAAAGCTAAACAGCACAGAGATCCTTTTCCCATTTCTTCTGTAAAAAGTGCATCCATTTTTGATATCATTCATATAGATCTTTGGGGTCCTTGCAATGATGACAACATAAAAGGGATAAGATTTGCTTTAACCATTGTAGATGATTTCAGCAGAGCCACTTGGCTTTATCTTCTTAAACACAAGACTCAGGTCTTTCATACCCTTTCCTCCTTTTTCTCACTCATACAAAATCAGTTTCAGAAAGTTGTTAAGATTGTCAGGAGTGACAATGGTCTTGAATTTGTGAACCAAGAGTGTCAATCTCTTTTCCATTCTTTTGGAATCATTCATCAAAGAACTTGTGTCTATACTCCTCAACAGAATGGGGTAGTAGAAAGGAAGCATAGACACTTGTTGGATACAGCTAGATCCTTAATGTTTCACTCCAAATTACCTATGTTTTTATGGCCTGAGTCTTTACTTGCAGCTACCCACATTTTAAATAGATTGCCAAATTCAGCTCTTAAGTGGAGAACACCTTATGAAGTTCTGTATGGACAAAGTCCTGATTATTCTCTCTTAAAACCCTTTGGTAGTTTGGTTTATGCAGCTAATGTGGATCCCCATAGGACCAAGTTTACCGCTAGGTCCCACAAGTGTGTGTTCTTAGGTTTTGAACCGGGTAGAAAGGGTTTTAAGCTGTTTAACATGGACACTGGAAAAATAATTGTTAGCAGAGATGTGCAGTTTTCAGAGAGCATATTCCCATACCACCAAGAAATGATACATCTTCAGTCCACTACACCATCACCTAACATTACAGCTGTTGATGATTCAGTTCCTTTTCCAGAACAAATGCCCAACACAACTCAGTCCTCTGACTTTTCTCCTTTACAAAATAACAGACCTGTCAGAAAGAAAACCAAACCTCTCTGGCTTGAGGATTATGTTACAAATTTCACTTCCCATCTTGCCTCTGCCACCATGGATCAGTCCTCAGAGGTAACAACACCTCTCTCTTTACATACTGTTGTTGATACTGATACATTACCCTTACATTATTCACCCCATTATTTAGCCTTTCTGCACAATGTGTCTGTTGACCATGAGCTTACCACCTATAATCAAGCTAAGACAAGTGCAGAATGGGTTAAGGCTATGCAACAGGAATTAGAAGCTTTGGAAAAAAATGGTACTTGGGATTTGGTGCAGCTGCCTTTAGGTAAGAAACCCATAGGAAATAAATGGGTTTACAAGATAAAGAGGAAAGCTGATGGCACTGTGGATAGATTCAAGGCCAGGTTAGTGGCTAAAGGGTATAATCAGGTTTATGGTGTGGACTATGTAGACTGTTTCTCCCCTGTTGCTAAACAAGTTACAGTGAGATTATTTCTAGCTATCAGTGCTGCAAGGGGGTGGCCTTTGTGTCAGGTGGACATCAACAATGCCTTTTTGCATGGCAATCTACAAAAAGAAATTTACATGGTTTGTCCTCAAGGGTATGATAAACAACAGACAGGTCTGGTCTGCAAGCTTCAAAAGAGTTTGTATGGGCTTAAACAAGCCTCCAGGGAGTGGAATCACAAGTTTTGTGAGAAGTTGCTGTTGTTTGGTTTCAATCAGTCTCAGCATGACCATTGTCTGTTCACTAAAGCTTCAGATGATGATTTTTTGGCCCTTTTGGTTTATGTTGATGATGTTTTGATTATGGGGCCCAGTTTACACTTGATAGATGAGCTTAAAACCTTTTTGGATAATGAATTTACTATTAAGGATTTAGGCTTTGCCAAATTCTTCTTGGGCATTGAAATTACAAGGGGAGAGCAGGCACATATTTGAATCAGAGGAAATATATTCTTGATTTGCTACATGATATGAAATTGGATAATTGTAGAACTACTGTCACTCCTTTGCCCCATGGTCTGATTTTGAAGGGAAAGCAAGGCAGTCCTCTAGCTACAGCTGATGTATATAGAAGATTGGTGGGGAGACTCCTTTATTTGAATCTTACAAGACCTGACATTTCCTTTGCTGTTCAGCAACTATCTCAGTTTGTTAATGATCCTTACTCCTCACATTGGGATGCAGCTTTACATGTTTTGAGGTATCTAAAAGGGACAACTTCCCTTGGTCTTTTTTACTCGGCTCATAATGATTTTCACCTCACAGCATACTGTGATGCTGATTGGGGCGCTTGTCCTGATACAAGACGGTCATTGACTGGATTTTGCATATTTCTGGGTAGCTCCCTTGTTTCTTGGAAAAGTAAGAAGCAGACTACTGTCTCTAAGTCCTCTGCAGAGTCTGAATACAGAGCACTCAGTGCTACTTCTTGTGAACTTCAATGGTTGGTGTACATTTCCAAAGACTTGCAGCTCCCTATTCACTTGCCTATTACTTTATTTTGTGACAATCAGTCTGCTCTCTATATTGTGGAAAATCCGGTCTTCCACGAGCGTACCAAGCACTTAGAGATCGATTGTCACTTGGTAAGAAACAAGTTCAAAGAAGGGTTGCTTTCTCCTACATACATACCTTCTTCCCAGCAGGTTGCTGATGGCTTCACCAAGTCCCTTGGTGGCACTCCTTTCAAGCTTATGGTGGTCAAGTTGGGATTGACAACATCTCTTTGTCATCCCACTTGAGGGGGGTGTGTTGAGTATAATGAGTATGTTTGTATTTTCTGTTCTTTGTTGTTAGTTATAGTGGTCAAATAGTCAACAGACGTAAAAGCGCGTTTCCTTCTTTTGCTTAGTATAAAAGGTGAACTATTGTACTGTGAGTTTTAGTTTTTGAATGAAAAATATCAGAAGGGATTTTTCCCCCAATTTTCTCTTTCCTTTTTACTCGTATTGCATCTTCTACATACTCTTGTAAATTTTTAAGTTATTAATATAATTGTCGTTTGGAAAAAAAAAAAAAAAGATATAGCCGGTTCAGGCCTTTAAAAACCACAACATAGAACCCGCGGTTCCAAATCGAAATCGGCCCAAAACTGTCATTTAACCACGTTCACTTGGCCCTTTTATGACTCGAACTCGAGATATATCCTCCCTATATATTATTCCCGAATGCGCTGAGCCTACGTGGTTGTTTCTGGTGCTTCGGAATCCTACTTGGCAAAGAATCATGCTTCGTAATTAGGTTTGGACAAATCATATTGATAAATTAATAATTAATAATCTAGGTTCGGATATTCCATAAATATTATTTAGCTAATTTAGGTATTTTAATATAACTTTTACTAATATAACCCTTTAATTATTTGTAATTTTACATAGTGAGACACTAAGTGATTAATATATCCCTGACGTTTGATTTGTTTCCTTCAATTAGCTATTGAATTATAAATATATTTTAAAAGTTGATAATTTTTGTATTTCTTATCGGTTTTACATATATAATATATCAAATTAATTATCTTTTGATGATCTTCGATTTGACATCCATATTATATATATGAAATAAATAAATCATATTTATCTTTATAATAATATTTATTAAAATTCATTAGAAAAATAAAATTATTTCTCAATTGATATATTTATGTTTAATATAGTTATATGTTGTAAGTCAAAAAATATTATAATATAACACAGATAAATTGCACAAATAAAAAAGTGTCATACTAAATATACAATAATATATATATATATTTATAAAAGGTATTAAAATTTTCAATTACTTTTTCTCATTAATTTTAGATTTTAATAAAAAATTAGCAAGCACCCGTGTAATACACGGGCGTTGTA